TGATTTTGGAAACACGTATTTTACATTTAATATTGTACTGTATTATACATATCCACAACTTTCAAAGGGAGCCTTATTGTTAAGTGTAAGACAATACACTATTCATAAGGTTCCCTTATGACATTTATACACATTTATTAATCATTAATGAATATTGTTACTACTGCAAATATGTGTTTCCAATACATTATTATGCTTACAAGGTAGAAACCTGTCTGAAATGTTTAATATATATTAAACGTTTCAAAAATAAATGTTTAATATTAAGAAACCGGACAGTTTTGTTGTCTGCTCATTTTTAATTATTGTATTAAATACCATAAATAATAATTTATATAAAGTGTTTGCAGATGAATTAATAAGCTATTCATAAAATAATTATAAGCCGTCTACAAGTGGAGCCTTATTTTAAAGTGGTACCGCTTGAACTATTTAATAAGCTGTGCTAAATTATAGCATGATTCAGCAGAGTGCTACATTCTGTATAGCAATATACACATCAGAAGCTAATATCCAGCCAATTCAATAATAAACAGTGATAACATTGTCTGGTGCCAATTAACAGTAAGGCTTCCCTTTTAAATAGATTATAAATAGTTTATAGATATGTTAATAATTCATCTGTAAACACTTTATAAATCATTAATAAGTGTTTATCATGCATTAATCAAGGATGAGAAAGAGACAACTGCAGTGAGCCAAATCTGTTCATGTACATAATACCTTTAAAGTACTTTATTACATTCCAGACTAGGTTTCTACTTCGTAAGCACAGTAATGCACTGGAAACACATATTTTACATATAATATTACACTGTATCACTGCATTATACATATCCACAACTATCAAAAGGAGCCTTATTGTAAAGTGTAAGTACACTATTTACTGGCTATGATTTATATGTGATTTATATTCACATATGACTTATAAAGTGTTTACAGATAAATTAATTATATATCTATAAAATATGTATGTCATCTATAAGGGGAGCCCTATTGTAAAGTGGCACGTATTGGCTTTATAAGCTAAATATAATTTTTTAACTTTAAACTGGTACATTAGCTTCAATTCTGGTCAAATCCCTTCCACATTGAGGTAACTGAGATACATTTTCTGTTTTTTTTTTGTTTGTTTTTTTTTACACACATTTTTCTAGTATTGTGTTAACCATTAATACAGTATATTACTGGTAATATTATTTTTCTTTAAATTATCATAAGAGTTTTTACAATTTTACATAATCAGATCTCATCGTTTGCTTTGTTGCCATTATGTACAGTAATCCAAACATTTGCCTTATTTAGTTAGCACCACCATAGTGAAGTGGTCAAAACACGTTAAACAACTCCATGCCTCATCCTGAACTTATTACATTTTGATCATGTTGGGAAATAGCTTTTTATTGATATGACACCCAGTTTTATCACTGCAAGAATGTGTGACTTGTATTTCAACTATGTTTAAAATTTGAGCCAAAAAAATCACTACAAAGTTCAAGATCATCTCTAAAATAATTATTTTCAATAAAACACTCAAACACAAAAACATATGTCATGGTGAGAATCCACGTGTTCCATGTGTTCAAAATATTGCAAAATTAACTGTATTTGATTGTGTCAGATGTGCTCAGAGAAATGATTTAAAAGTACAGTCATGGGAAAAAAAAGGTGTTTAGCTTGGGAACTTAGGGGTCCCTTTTATTTCTTTTCCAGATGATGTGTTTTCTATTGGTCTCTTCAGTCCATGACCTTCAGTGTGGGCTGGGGTGGGTGCAGCTGTTTGTCAAGTGACCAGGATAAGAGTCAGCTCCTTTTAGTCTGAGGCAATGGTTCTCAACTAGAAATGAAATAAAAAAATAAAAATCTAATGCTCCCTCTGGGTTTGGGGATCAAAGCTTCATCCACAGTGATGAGGGCATTGCTCTGGTCTAATGTAGTTAAAAAAAGAGCTTAGCTGAAAGGCAAACATCTTACATTACTGCTCAATTTACGTTCTAACCCTCATCTAGGGTCATAAGATATGAATCCTGACCAAACAATTAAAGCCAGAATGCAAATTGGATAACGTAAACTAAATAAATAAATAAATAAATAAAATGAGATTCCCTTAAAAATATAAAGCAATAATGTCCATAATATGAGTAGAAGCTGGAGTAAAGCAGCTTCGTTGTATCAAAAAAGTCTAGCGATCTGATCAGGATGCCTCTTGAATGCCTCCCGTTAGGGAACGTCTCACAGTGATGAAACCCCAGGGCACACCCAGAGTGCACTCGAGAGATTATATTGTATATGCTTTCTGCCCTGGAAATGCCTTGGAATCCCCCAGGAGGAGCTGAGGAGAGCCTCTTGAGAAAAGCATGTTTGAGTTTCCCTTTCTGGACCAGTTACTTCTATGACTGCAGTTCAAAAAAATAAAAATAAAATAAAAAAAATAGGAAAATGTTGGTTTATTTTAGTCTCTCCTGGTGCTCCATATACTGTATATCAGGTATGAGGTGGTGGCGCAGAGGGTAGAGAAGCCATGTCTGTGATCAGAAGGTTGCCGGTTCAATTCCCCAAACCAACCAGCCCCACCTTGGGCCCCTGAGCAAGACCGTCAACCCCCCAGTTGCTCCCCGGGTGCCGTAATTGGCAGCCCACTGCTCCACATGTGTGTTCACATGTGCGATGGCTTAAATGCAGAGACTAAAATTTCCCCTCTGCGGGACGATAAAAGTTAATAAAATTTTAAAAAAATATCTAAAATCTAATCAGTTAGCCCTGCATGTTTTGTATCTCTGCTCCAACACACCTGATTTGAACGAATGAATGATTTTCAGGCTTCTGCAGAATTTGGAAGAGTAAGTAAATAAAGTTTTATTTATAAAGCACCTTTCACAGAAATATATTCACAAGGTGCTGTACAATCATTACCAGTATAAAATGATGGAAAGAATAAAATGAAACATAAAAACATAATTAAACATGAGCAACGGAAATTGAAAGACCAAATCTACAATTGATTTCTAAGATTGTAAATCAAACACAAGGTCAATGCAGGTCAAAATATACAATATACACAAAAACATAATGAATGTGGGAGAGAGAAAATATGGCGTAAGTTCAATAATAAAGAAAACACAGATTGGCGAAGCATTCACAGTGGAGGCAGGCTGGCAGTAATGGTGAAATGGTTAGCGAAACGCTTGAGAGAAAAAGTGAGTATTTTGGAGTGTCTTGAAAGAGACAATGGGTCTCATGCAAGAAGCGTTCGTACGCACAGATTTGTTCTTAAGTTGTGCGTACGAGTGATTTAGGAGAATTTGTGGCATTCACCAATGTTTTCATTTTCTACGATTTTTTTCAGATACGAACAAAATTCACGAGTGGTCCAGACCTGTCGTATATTTTATGAGCAGTCAGTCTGCTGTTATCTAGAC